GCATGCAACTGCATCAGATTCCACAGACGATTTCATATGTTTCTTGCCGTGACAGTGGGTCTTTCGGTTTCATTATCTGACGCTTTATGGTTGCCTCCGGCCTGTGTGCGATTCCAACTCCAAGTAGTGCGAGAAGACGGCCGACGACCTCCGAGAGGTTTTTGACGCACGGAATCGTTCTCCAAAATTTGGGTTCGTTGCGATTTTGTTGCTCATCCCGTTTGCGCATGTACTGGTTGACGAAATTGCTCGGGTAGCCATTTTCGCAGAAAATCCTTCAAAGATATTGCAGTTCGGCAACGTTATATTCCGGTTCACTGCAGTACGTCACAACACGCCGATAAAGTGTCCTTTTACGACTGCGTTTGTGGCTGATTGGGTGGTTGCTCTTGAAGTTCAGTACTTGCGTCGCGTTTGCCGCTATCCTGAATACTTTGTTCTTTAGGCCGCTACAATCTTTGCGACAGACGAGGACATCCAGGAAGGCCAGCTGGTTGTTCTCTCCCTCTTTCATCGTTAATTGTATGTCCGGGAAGATGCTATTGAGACGCTCTTTGAACCTGAGCACCTGATCCCGTTCGATGACGACGAAGGTATCATCCAAAAACCGCGCTCAGAATTTGTGAGGCCGTGGAAGCGGGCCAAGGCCGTTTCTTGCGCTCTCGCCATGCATCGGTCAAACGGTGTTGTTGCACCCGAGTTCTCTAGTGCCAACAGGGTCGAATTATTTTTGCGAGTCAGCTTTTTGAGAGGAATGTTTTCACATGGAACTTACAACTAGCGATCCTCCAGTAAGTTTTTGGCTTTCTGAAGTTAGTCGATTCTGTTCAATACGACGGTGGAACACCCCTTGTCGGCTGGTACGATGACGATGGCCTGGTCGGCCTTGAATGCTTTTAGGGCAACGCGTTCGACCTTGGGCAGCAGTTCCCGCGACTGATGAACTATGAGGAAGGACGATACCTTGTGTCGGGTAAGGTTCATGGGCGAAGACAGCACAACAGAGAGTGACTGAACAAGCCCACGGAAAGCAAGCGATTCTCGAGCAGCACTGGAGAACAAATTTCGCAAACTCCATAATCCAACGTCATCCAGAAACGACACATTGGTACACAGCCTGCCGTCGAAAGAACTGACGAATGAGCAAATACAGATTCTACAACAGGAAGCTTCATTCAACACGGCTGATGCTAAACCTGCTAACAAGATTGCAGCTGTGGAATCGGCTCTTTCCTGTATACCTCCTACCTGCCATGTACATATTTTGCTTCGCCTTTTATTTCGTTTCAGATACTCTGTGATTTATAAATGGTTGTAACCTAGTATGTACTAGTTCTTGTTAATTTATCCTATTGGTGTTCATCTGGTGTGTTTAAAACTGTTTTGGGTAGAAGTACCAAGCCAGTTCCAGAACCTCTGAATTTGACTTGTACATGAAATCAAATTTAACATACATGGGTCACACGAGTTCGTTCCTCGCCACCCATCAAAGGCACAGAATCAGCACCTCTCATGTAAGTGGAAAGCGTATTTTTTTACTCTTTCTCCGTGGGACCTCTATGGCACTCTCACACACGTGGGATCCAATCAGCCAGCTCCCTCCTGTGACAATATGGTGTGTTGTATGTACGTGTGTGTGTGTGTGTGTGTGTGTGTGTGTGTGTGTGTGTG